GGTACATTTAGGCCATTTACTTTCAGTGTAATTATTGACAGGTGTGAGTTTATTGCTGTCATTTTGTAGTGCTTTTTTTGTGGTGCTGATTTTTTTTTGTTCCTCTTACTGTCCTGTGCTGAATTCTGTTTATGGATTTGTTTTTCATTGCTTTTGGTTTTGAGGTTTTGTTTTTACTGAGACTTTATGTTTTTCTTCTTTATTTTGATGAGTAGGTTTGTTACTTTTCTTTGTGGTTACCTTGAAATTTACCCTTATCTTCTTAGGTTTGAAGCAGTCTATTATTACTTGGTATCACCTTGCCTTCCTCTCCATTAGAAGGTTCTGTACCTACACCATTTATTCCCTCTTTTATTGTTATGATGTTATTGTCATTTATAGATTAACCTCTCTGGTTCCCTGTTGTAATTCTTTTGGTTTTGGATAGTCCTTCAGAGTTCATTTCCTAGATTGGTATCTGGTTGGTACAATCCTGTGTCCTAGATTCAGCCTGTGGTCTGATGTTTTTTGTTCTCAGATTGAAGGACTTCCTTTAATAAGTCTCTTATGTTTGGTTTGGTTTTTACATAGTCCTTCAATTTCTGTTTATCTGGAAATGTCCTAATTTCACCAACATACTTGAACGAGAGTTTTGCAGGATATATTATTTTTGGCTGGCAATTTTTTTCTTTCAAGGTTTTATATATGTCATCCCATTACCTTCTTGCCTGCATGGTTTTTGACAAGTAATCCAAGCTTAGTCTTGTTGTTTCTCCTCTGTATGTGACTTTTGTGTTTTTCTTGAGCTGCTCTCAGAATTCTTTGTTTGTCTTTGGTTTTAGCGAGTGTGATTATGATATGTCTTGGTGATTTTCTTTTGGAGTCTATCCTATATGGGGTTCATCGACCTTCTTGGATGGTCAGCTTTTCATTTTCATTATACTGGCGAAGTTTTCTGTCAGCAGTTCTTCAGTGATTCTCTCTGTGCTTTCTGTTTTCTCTGCTTGTTCTTGAACTCCGATCACTCGAAAATTTTTGCTTTTGATTGTATCCCACATAATTCTCAGGGTTTCTTCGTTCTTTTTTCTGATTTTTCCTCAGAGTTGTATCCAAGTGTTTGTCTTCAATTTTGCTGATCCTGTCTTCCATCGTTTCAAACCTGTTCCTCAGCCCTTCTGTGACACTGTCCATTACTGAAATCTTGTTTATCTTTTGGATTTCTAATTGTTGTTTTTGTGTGGTTTCTAGTTATGAATTTATTTTAGCTTTTTGTTCCTGTATTTCTGAATTCTTCCT